CCCTGGCCGTGATACGTGCTCCAAGTGCTCGGACTTGGCACTTGTGGGCTGGATGTCATGCTGGCTGGCTGCGCTGGCCAGCTGCCGTGCTGTTTCATTCGTAGTGAAATGATGGTTAAGTTTAAAACAAAGACATCACTTTTCGCATTGAATATTCTCCTCCTACCTGAAAACAGAGCTCCTTTTGACCCAAAATATTCGTAATTGCCTTAAGATCCTGATTCGTTTCATTTTTAAACTGCCAGCTTAAATGTGCCTCAGTGCCTCTTTTAAATTAGGCTGTCACCAGGAGCTCAGCCTCTTCCAACACCCAAAACTGAGGTTGCGAGTGCAGCTCTGAAAACACGTAACGTCTACTCAAAATCTACCCGCTCCCTGATTCCACAGGGCAAAGCATGGTGATGGGGTGGAGGGGTGAGGAAGAAGCCTCGTATTATTATTTTTTTTTTTTTTTTAACCCATCCTACCTGCCTACTACAAACGGCCTATTTTCTGCCCCTAATGGTTTCTGCCTAACAAATGGTGTTTCTTTTTTACAGCGTTATGATCCTGGACTTGTTGTGGTGATGGTAAACTTAGCAGTGGTAATTTTTTATTTTCAGACTGAATTACTCCTTTTGTCATCAGTGCACCAATATGTTAGGCTTACTTTCTCTGTTGTAGCCATCATCCTTCTGCTTGGTCTTTCATTTTCCTTTCCTTTCCTTTCTTTATGCACACTTGTCTGATCCTTGTTCATTAAAGGGTATTGCTAAGAAGGGATGTTTCTGTTTGTGTTAGAACTGCCAAAATCAGTTTAAACATAAATTTCTAATACTGTCCAAACTTGATTTTTCCCCAACATGATGGGCACTAGCACTTGCTACTGCAATTTCCAAATAGATTTTGAAAAAAAACAAAACCCAAAAAACTTTGACTGCCTTAGAAGGCAAAAGTACTGATGCATTGTTTGTACGCAGGGGTTTACCAGGGCATCGAAAGATCTCGATTGCTGGAGAAACAAACAAACAAAACCACCAACAAAACAAAAAGAAAAAAGCTTTGAAAAAAAAAATTGTTGGCACTTGTTGCCAGCCATTCCATTTGGGTTCACCACTTACCAGTAAATCCCTGGCTGAGACGTTATGAAAGTGATATTGCACTTAGGAAGTCATTTTTATAACCTGTCTTTAATTTGGTCCTTTTGCTAAAAATTGCAGTCACTGCTTACTTTATTATACCATTGGGCGTAAGAGAAATATTTTCAAATGGAGAATGCTTAAAATACCCAAACAAAAGCTCAATTCAAAATATTATTTTGGATCAGCATGATAACTATTTTTGGACTTGGTGGATATATGCCTGTCAAATTTGTGGGCGTATAAACAAAACCATAAAGCAATTAATTAAATGGATTTATTTCTGAAAATAAAACACATGCCTCTGTACTTTAAAAAGACACAAGTCTGACCGGAGTAGGTTCCCTTTGTGGAGTCTGAGATCTGTGGGCTGTCGCTTTTGCAGGAGTTAAGCAAGCTGATACTGGAGAAGAGAGAAGTTAATGCCTATACAGGTTTTCTGAGGCAGTTTTAAAGATTTTAATCTCTTGTGCATGTGAATGGCAATGGAATATTTTTGGCATGATTGAAACTTGTAGATCTTTTAGCCCAAAGGTATAATATATGTGTATGTGTGTATAACAAAACAGTTGTTTACACCAAAACCAGAGCAATAATAAGGGAAGTAAACATTCTGTTTTTTTACTCAAGGTATGCACCGGATAAGGTAAGTACTTTTTCAGTGGGCTTACATCACAACAAACAGCGCCAGTTGTGATGTAAAAAATAAAAATAATAATAATTTTTTTAAAAAGCTGTGGTAGTAAAGTGCTTGTCTGCCCCATTTTGCTTTGTTTGGCTGGTTATGAGTGGATTAAAGATATGTTTAAAAAAATAAATCTCCAGCATAGTTTGATTAGTTCAAAGTCAATTTTCTTCGCAACTAGTCCTTTTCACAGCTTACAGATGACACAGCGAGTGCTAGAGCATCTCTGCAGGAGCTGGGAAGCAGGTGCTTGACCACCTGGCCTGGGCCGGGCAGTTCTTTTGGATGAAAGAAGTTTGGCTTCTGTGCCACGCTTCTTGGTCAGCTTTACTTAGTCTTGGGAAGGGACAAAAGTTGGTGGGAGGGAGGCTTCCGCATCTTTTACGGGAAATTCCTAATCAATTATTAATGTGATAGAGCAGTAAAATATATTTAATAGCTTTTTCACTTGCATCAGAAGATGAGGAGTATGTATTGTCTGATGTGGAAGCACTGAGGAGAGGGTTAATGTCTCAAGTCCTGTTAATAGCCCTACCCTAGGACTTGTCATGGTTGAACATTAACAACCAAATACTTTACATGACCAGTTAATATCATCTATCAGTACTCAGGATGCATTTATCTGTAAGGGGTTTGGAGCTGAGAAGTAGGTTTGGCTGTAAGCTGTGAGAATGGCTTGTGTTTGGTTCACTGTAGCTTTCTGGTCTCTGCACTCCAAGGCAAGATCTCTAACCACCCAAACCCAATGTGTAAAGCGAGCTGTGGTGATGACCTGGCTGCTGACCACCTCTGTGTGTGTTCCTCTTACAGGGAGGACAGATCCCATCCCTATCGTCGTCAAGTACGATGTCATGGGCATGGGGAGGATGGAGATGGAGGTAAGCTCTCCCGGCTCCTGACCTGCACCCCGTCACTCCTTGCATGGCTCTCGAGTTGATAGGGAGGAAATTTAAAAGTGAGAGTTTGTGCATCAAAGGTAAAGAAAAACTTGCTCTTAAATCAACACAGTAAGAAAACACTTCTCAAAATAGATGCTCTGTTTACCCATGGGTACCTGAGTTCTGAGGTGTGGATGCTATCTGAAATTCCTGGGCTTTGCAAGTGAAACTGCACAGAGCCGAGGCCACTGGCAGTGGAGGGTCCTGCTGGGAGCCTGCGCCTCAGGAGGATTGCTGTTTTGCATGTGGGTTACGCTGTGGGATGATGAAACAGGGAAAGTGAAGTACAATATCCAAAGATTCTGTTTCAAACCTCATCTTTTCAAAACTGCACATTCTGGCACTCTCAGTAGTGCAAAGTATTTATGGGACAAATTGCATCTCTTCTTTTTTTTTTTTTTTTGGTTAAAAAAGCTTGATTATGCCGAAGATGCCACTGAGCGGAGGCGTGTACTGGAGGTGGAGAAAGAAGACACCGAGGAGCTGAGACAGAAATACAAGGTACTGAAACAGGGGCACTGACATCAAAGTTTCCGTGGGCTGAGTGGGAGAGGATTTGTTCTGATAGGACAGAGCTCTTCGTTAGGCTTTGGTAATGGTAGTAGGAATTAAGTATTCTGGGTTCTTTGCCATTGTTGAGATTATTTATATTTTAACAAATTGGTTATTCACTTCCTGGAATTAACCTTGATGTTTGTTTAGCTCCTTAAGAGCTACAGGATAGCAGCATAACTTTCTCTGTGTTTTGCTCCTGTTCTGGAAAGAACAGTCTCAGGGTAAGCAGAACATTTCCTTTCTACAACCAGGGCTGCCAAATTTTTCTAGTGAACCTGCCACGTTGTCAGTGCAAAATCTGCAGATGCAAATGTTTAGATGGGCACTTATCAGCTGGAAGTGGAGCAGATCATCTGTTGTTACTGAGCAAGCAGCAAGTAGTTCATTATTATATTATTGCATAAGTCCTGTTGTCTTTGAAAAGGTAGGACATGGCTCCAGTTTTGAGAAATTGATGGGCTGTATCTCTTCAGAAGAATTTCTCAGGCAGCATTAAAAAAATATTTTGAATTTCTATAGGGCTTACAAAACCTGTGAGGCTTTTAGTAAGACAAACACTGTTATGTTTTTAATGATAAAAATGGGCCATCGTGTTGGCATTGAGCATGACATGGTAGAACATATGGATTAGCTCTGAGTTCCCTGTGGAGACATGGTCTTTGCTAGTCCTCTAATCCACTCTTCCAGTCTTTAAAGTACATCAAGTCTTAGGAACGCCTGCTTGTTTAATTGTCCTGAGATTTGAGACTGCCAGGGTTGAAGAGCCCTAGACATTAAAGTTCCAGTTTTGCATAAATTTTAATTCTTTGAGGAATAGTGGAAAAGTAGTTTCAATTCCATGGCAAATCTGAAGTTCCATTTCACCAGTTTAACAGTTAATACTGCAGGTAGTTTATTCAGCTACAAAAATTTACAGCCTCCTTTCCTGACTTTTTTTTTTTCTTAAGTTGAGACCTTGACTTGCTTGGTAAGTGAATTGCTAGTATATTTGTTCATTCAGAAGTAAAAGCCATTGTGATTACTTTTAAAGCTAATTATTAGTTTGGAGCTGTAGGAAGCTAATGATCTCTTCGGCACACTTTAAAGTGCAAGTAGTGCTCTTAAATGGGATTATGCAGCCAGTGCTGAGCAGCTCCTCTATGTCCAGGTGCACATTCTCCTTGAAGAAGTTTCTCCGTTGTGCTGTTTTTAGTCTCCTGCTGGGTGGCATGCTGCTCACACCCTACAGAGGGAAGGGTTGCCTGTGTCATTGTCCGTTCTTGGGCAGCGTTGGCCGTTCTTGGGCAGCGTGTGGCTGAAAGCCTGGATCCCTCCCTGCAGCAAGCCCCCAGCTGCGATGCTGGGCATCTTCAGCCAGCAGCAGCTGTTCAGTACAAAGTATTTCTTCGTGTCAGGGTGGTTGGTAGGAGCTCTTGTGTGAACTGCATGTAATGATGCTTTATCTCAGGTCTGCAATGCGATTTATGGTAAAGTTCTTGGGTTTTGCATTTGTCTTTTCAAATGCAGTTGAACGTGTGCTGCGCTCTGAGACTTTGTCTTCCTGCCATTATTCAGCACAGATTTTTTTCAGGAACTCTATGGAGTGGCAGCAGTCTCTCCCAGTTCAGATGTGTTTTTATTAGCATACTCTATCATTAGGCTCTTGCATTTCTGTATTAATCTGTAAAAAATCTCTGCAAGCATAATTTTTTTCATTGCTCCACAGGAGTCCATTATGTAATTGCCAACTGTGGCCGCATCCTGATTAGCCATTCAGTGAGTCTCAAAGGAATTTCAGATAACTCTGCCACCAAGAAGCAAGCAAGAAATGTTCTTTAATTCCCTTCTTTTGTATAGATTCTGATCGCTCAAATGGCTGTGTTTTCATTGTTTAGCCACAGGATGCTTTCTGAAAAAAACCCTACACATGGTGCAGGAAGCTTGTTCAGGGTTTCAGAGGAACTTTAAATGTCATTGTTCTGTGGATCTCACGCTGCTCTGTTTTCCTTTCTTGGCTTCCGGGGGACCTGCCTCAGGCTCAAACCTCTAGACAGTTTTGTTGATTTTTTTTCTTTTTTTTTCTTCTTAACAAGGGCCTCCAGTAATAAATGGAAGCAGGAACTTGAAAGAGATTTTTTAATTATTATTTAGAAGGTGAACAGTGCTTTAAATTGGAAAAAAACCCTCCAACTCTTAGCTGTAGAATTTTTCCGCCCCTTGGGTGTTGAAATTTTTTTTACATGATTTTTGCATTACAGAAAACACACAGCAATATTATTTCAATGTAATTTTGATGTGGTAACTGGAAGATAAACCATATTGGCTTGAACAAGACCTTAAATAAAAAGATAAAAGCTACCATAACCTATCTTTTTTTTTAAAAAAAAAAAAAGTTTTGCTAGCCTCTCTTGCTAATGCAAGGAAGTTTCCCATAAGAAGTTTGCATTGAAGAAAAACTCTTAGGTGCTCCTTCTCAAATGTTAGGCTATTTTTTCTTATATAATTTCTCTTTACTCCAGTTGAAAGGCATATGCTAAATAGCAGTGTGGGGTATGCTGATGTTGACACAGGGGTAGTTTGTAATGTTGTGTTTGTAGCTGCTCTTCTTGTATGCATCAACGTGAGTAAATGCTTCCATCTTGTTAAGGTAAACCTTCCCCAGCTTTCTTGTAAAGAGTGGTGATGTTTTATTAATTTTGCTTGTGGGGCTGTAATTGAAACGACCTGGCTAGAGGAAGAAGTTGCTTAGCCCTGAGATTAGTGTGTATCTCGGCACCAGGTGCATTTCGGAGTGCCCCCAGCTCTTCATTGCCCACGGCTGTGCCCGGAGGACAGGGCTGGTGGAGCAGCACAGGCTGGCTTCCAGGCACTCGGACTTCAAGCCTTTACAGCCACTCAAGGGACTGGGATTTCCAGAGTCCCAGAGCTTTTTGCTCCTGCCAGTGAAGAAGCTGCTACTTCTCTTTAAAACAACAGAGGGGAGGACCTGACCGTTGCCAATTTAGACACCTCACCTTTGCTTGAAGGTTTGGTTTTGACTTGTGCAAATGTTGAATTATATAAGGAAATTACTGTCTGCAACCTCTAAAGCAATCTCATTCCCCCTCATTTATTAACTGGCAACTACCTACCTGTACCCACTCCCAGTGTAATCACTGTATCTGAGCTCAGCTTAATGGACAGCATTGCTCCTGGGAAGATTTCACTGACTGCAAAATTACACTGAAGTGAATTAGGCTCCACGGTTTCTGAGCTGTGCTTTCCCAGCCGCGGATCTCTGATCCTCCCTATTGAATTGCAGACGAACTGACATCAAGCAGACATCTGTTAGCACTCAAAATGGAGGAAGTATCAGTATTTAAAGTTCTAAGATTCTGTTCCAAAAGCAGTGATCTTCCTTGGTTTGATGCGTATTTTGTGCATCTTATATGAGCAGGCAGCTGCCAGTTTGTTTATGTGTTAGCATGAGGCTTTGAACCTCTCCTTTTATCTCAGACAATCCAGCAGGCTCTCCTCTTGCAGCTGCAGAACTGTCTTCCTGCCATTGGCACTATACTTTTTTTTTAAGCAGTCGCTTTTTACTGGTACCTGTGCTAATGACAAGGTTATGTTCTATGTTAGGAAACTGAGTCAAGGCTAGGTTGGTGTTGCAGTTAATCCTTCATGCCTATGAATTTGCAAAGACTGCTCAGCTTAATAAATATAATCATCGGTGTATGCCAAGATTTTCTTAAGGACTGTTTTTCCTTATAGGACTAGTTCATCATCTTTCAGTGTGTTTTATAGTTTTTTTTTTTTTTTTTTTTAATTTTGCAGGATTATGTTGATAAAGAAAAGGCAATTGCCAAGGCTTTGGAAGACCTCAGAGCAAACTTCTACTGTGAACTCTGTGACAAGCAGTATCAAAAGCATCAAGAGTTTGACAACCACATAAACTCTTACGATCATGCTCACAAGCAGGTAAACAAGTGTTGATAGCACGGTTCATCAATTTTGTATTCATTGCAGTGGTCTTGTTTGTGGTTAATACTGCGAATTTCCCCAGTGTATCTGTTTTCCTTATAGCCCCGGGAATAGGTGTTTTATGTCACTAGATATTTTGAGATTGAGGTTCTTATGCTCACCATACATCTAAAAAAAAACAAACCCAAACCACCCCAATCCACAGTTGGCATCAAGGATCCCAGTTTTGAATGACTCACGAGCAGGAATGGGCTGCTGTTAAACTGGGAAGACTACATGTGGGTAGGGATGGCTCCCAGTTAGCGTCAGCTTTAACAACTCTGGAGACTGATGATATGCCACGTGTGCATTTTAGTACTTTAGTCTGTGTTCTGTCATGTTACTGAAAACAGACTAGGAAATAATGGGCTGTGTCAAAGGAATCGTCAAAACGGAGCACTCTCCAAATTCTGTAACCCTCAGGGGAAGGTGGATTCAAAATCTGTGTGGAACTGGCTTTGGTCCCAAGGTAGGGATGTACTGTAGTATCTACATGATACTTCATACTGCACAGTAAATAATAAAAGTTCATGGCTTAGCCTGATCTATTTGACCATTTGAAACTGCTAAATGAGATGTAAACATACAGCAGGTAGCAGTGTTGTGCTCATCTAGACATGAAATTGCTCAAAGGAGGCTTTTTGATACTCCTAGTCACAAATCCTAACAATACAATCATTAAAATGCTGATAACTTCTGGAGGATGTGCTGTAGAGTACTAGATTTTTTGCAAAGTAGCAGTGTAGTAACAGTTTAAAAACAAGAATATGGCATTACAGAGCATGATTTTTTTGTGTGTGTATTAAGTATAGGATATGGTAGTTCAAAGTAAATTCACGGATTCTTAACAGGAATTCTCACAGCAGGGAAATTTCTGTTTGAGTACTGTGATGAGTTGTGGTTTAATAGAATTAAGAACAGAAATTAATTCATTTACTTTGTTTTGAGAAGACGGGCTGCTTTGACCGAGCTGGTGGCACAGTCGTGATACCTGATAGCAGTATGCTTCATCTAAAGTTTTCCATTAGCTTGGTTGAAACTTGAGTGCAATGACGTGCATCTATTTAGGAGGTGGAAGGACCTGTTTGTGTCACATTCTTACCGCGTGGTGATGCAGTATGATTATGTTAACTCTTGTTTAAAACCTTTGGGTGATTAATAGGGGGACTGACATGAAGTTGGTAAGGTTGAGCATCTAGAGATGCTGTGGAAGAAACAAATCTGTGGAAAGCAACCACTACTCACTGGTGTAAAAGAACTCTGCAGTAGAGGTGCAGGAAAAGTGACCTGCAAGAAAAATGTCTTGGGAACACATTGGGTGGTGTAATCTTTTCATCAGTGGAAAGGATTTGGGGGTTGCTTTGTACTGCTGATTATTTTAAAAGGAATTGGTGATCTTGGATAATTTGCATTCACTGCAGTACCTTCAGGCAGGCTTTGGAGAAAATGAGCCTTCATACTCTCGCTACGTCACCCAGTATTAATTTCTAGTTACAGAGGGATTTAAACGAAGAAGCAATCATGTTTTGCTTAGGGAAGAAATTGCTTGTCCAGCTTTGTCATGCTGAAATGTGTGTCACCCTGTTGGGTCAGTGTTCAGTAAGTGAACTTGAAACTACCTAGAAATAATGAAGGTAAATTTGCATAAGTAACATTATCTTGCTTGTTCATTACCACTCAGGGATAGGCTCATTTCTAGTAGTCTATTCTAAATTTTAAGGTAGTCTGGAAAAAAAAAAAATAAAAAATCTGTGCTTTTTATATTATGTTGCACGTGGATGTTTCATATTTTGCCTCTTTGGACAAGAAATGAGAAGGCAAGGTTACATAAAAGCTAACAAATTTTTTGAGGAAAAACATAAAGTTTTCCTAAAAGTAGGCTAATCAGTAGGCTTTCTTGGAAAGATGAGACATTATGGTATCCTAGATAATTACAGCAAACTGGCCTGCTATATATTATCTGCAAAGTTTTATCTTCTCAGTGGTAATTCTTGAGGCAACAGTGCTTTGGTTTTGCCTTTTTCTTGGCTTGTAGAACAGATTTCCACAGGATCATTTTTGCTTTTAAATATTTTTAGTTACACATACCCATGACATTGAAGTGTTTGCTTATTTCTTCTGTGGCTCAGTGAGCATTAGGCTGTCCCTGTAAATAGATGTTCCATCCTCAGATCCCTTACTGCTCCCAAGTTATAAAGACACTGTCTTGTATTCCAGGAAGGAACTCAGGATTATTGCGAAACAGGGACGATAGGTAAGTGTATTGATCCCTACCGGATAAATTTTGGACCCACCAACTTGTCAACACCAAACAATTAAAGGGGAGGTTTTATTATCATTATTGTCTGACTCTACTGGTTTCATATAGCATTTGGATATGTCTGAATCGACCTCAACACTAAGTTTTTATCCAAAAGGCAGCGTATCTAGATTAACTTAACTGGGAAAATGATCTCCAATTTATTATCACAAACCATGGGCCCGTTTAAGTCACTGCATTTTGAAACATCTTGTTGGAGGTGTACAGCGTTGTTCTCTAGATTTATTTTTCTTTCTAATTAGGTTGATACTTGAAATGAGAAGTACAGGTGTTTTAAAGAACAGTAACCCTATCTATTCACCAAGTGGTCAGTCCCTCTCGGGGAAGCTGTACAGTTCATACAGATGGCTCTGCAAGGGAAGATAAACTCCGTTCCCTTGAAGATCCTTCAGTGAGCAGCCTGTAACCATAGATGTCATAATTTTTTGTATCCTTGAAAGCTATTGATATCTTTAATGGGTTTTTTTTAGCTGTAAGATCTTGAGCTCGGCAACTAGTAGGACTGGTAGCTTGTGAAGGACCCCTGCCTCTGTTGCACCGTCTTGACTGTCAGCAGATTAGTAATAATTACCAGACAAATGCAAAGGAAGGCAAATGTAGAAAGAAAACTTCTCCTGCAGCTAGCAAGGAATTTGGGTAGTGAAGGTGGACCCAGTGTATTTCTGTGCTGCTTTCCTGCAGATAATGTGATGTCCAGATGCTTGAGAGCTCCCACAGTCCTCAAATACTCTGGACTTAGTGGGAATGTGTCCTCTAGGGCTTCACATCTGAGTGGGCCGTTTGGGTTTTGACATCAAGAGTACTTCATGTTAGATTTGCGTGAAGATGAATGGGTCACTTTATCTGGGGTTCCACCCCAGTTCCACCCAGCTTCATATCAAATAAACCTAATCTGTATTGCCCATCACTTAGAGCAGCTTGCAAAAATTGTTATTGTTGGAATTATCTTATGTGTAAATAATGTAGCATTTACAGTCAGCTTCTACTGTTGGGTGGGTTTTTTTTTACTTCATCCAGGAACTTACAGAATCTCCTATACAGTCACCTCTTTCCTGCTAGCACGCCTGATGAAGGGTTGAGCTGTTTACTTAGTCACTGACCCAACAGAATAAAAACATTCGCCTTCTGAATTCCCTGTGAAAAACAAACATCATCTTGTGTGAACTTTTGCCAGGTTAACTGTGAGAACGCTAACCGGTGTTGAAATGCAGTCTTTTATGTAGCTTTCATTTTATTTTTTGTGTGGTGTTCTGGAGGTGTATATGATTAATTCTTCATAGATTCTCTTTATAAAAGCCTAAAGGGAAGGTATTTCCATAAAGAAGTTCTTTGGGAAAGAGAGTGGAACTAAGAACTGAATCTATAGATCTGCAGTTCTCTTCATGCCCTAATTATCTGGATCTTTGCTTCTAATGCCAAGGGGGAGGGATCTGCTAAAGCACAATAAAATTACCAACGTGGTCACTGCTGTGGTTGATGAGTACTCTAAATCCAAACCCTGAACTTTCTGGTTTGGGGAGAATTGGACTTGTGCTTTCCAAAAACTTGTATCTTCAAGCACAGCTTGAATGTAGAAGACTGAAGAGAGAATCTCTTAAGATCCTTGGTGTTACATGGGAGGCTTTTCTACTCTAGAAATGTTTTACCCTCAAAAAACCTGTGGTATATTTCTTAACCCAGTTTTAGCTGTTCAGCTGCTCATTTGCTGATGGCAAACACATTCGGAGAAGAGCATTTGCACATGGAGAGTGTTCAATAAAACAAGTTTTTGGTATGCAAGGTCTGGACGTTGTGATTATGGGCAATGTGAGTCTCCTCAAGGGCAGGCAGACTTGTGTCGTTGGGTTATCTGTGTTGCATTATTGCAATGGTATATTTTCCCAAGTTGAAAATGAGGTGTCAGGGTAGAAATTAAGATGAAATAAAACTGCAGTTGTGTGCCATTTCCCCTCTGCTCTTTTTACTTCACTTACAAGCGTGCAAAGAATGTTGATTAACAAAATAAGCAGGGCTTGTGTTCTCACTTATGTAAAATTATAAAGGCTGCCATCCCTTGAGCTCATATTTAGCTAATGGTGTAGTTCACTCCCAGAAGCTTTTGTAGCAAAGAATTGAACACACGTCAAAAGTTCAGAAAGCCAGAAATCTGCTGGCGTGTAATGAAAAGTACATTATTATTTTATTTAATAGGGATTGGCAGAGAGACTTGAGAACAATAACAAGGGAGGAGTAGGCTCTAATGCCATTGTGCTGTCACATGAGCTGCCTCCTGTCTCAAGCCAATGCAGAAATCTTCACTGTACGTGGATTCAGTCTGTCCCTCTCTCCTGAACATAAGGTTTGTCATGAAAGTCTCAGATCTTCAGGTCTAGTAAAGCAGTGTATTAGAGTGCTTTTTTTTTTTTTTTTTTTTTTTTTTATTCTGAGAATGAAATTATCTCTTTCTGCTCTTCAATTTCTGGCAAAGAATGCCTCTCGAATGGGCCTCAGTTCAGCAAAATTGCATGGCTTTGTCAACTTAAACTGAGAAAATTCATTTACAGCTGGTCGTGAACCTGAAAAGCATTGCACTCCAGTTTGGTACTGGGGGAGGTCTTACCTTGATGCCATCTCACCAGCAAAATCTCATGTACAATTGCCACAGCTGCGCTGAGTTTTTTCCTGTTATGTCGGTTTCTGAATCCTGATTGCCCCCCTTTTATTTAACCACTTTCACGTGTCTGTGATGGGCTATCTCTAGAGCTTTTAAATGATTCTGGAGTGCAGCTTATTTAAGCCGATTTGAAGAGAATTTGAAGGTAATGGCATTGTATGTCAATTTGGCCTCTCCTGAGCTATGCAGTGATTGGGAGATAATCCATTACTGTAGCCTCTTTTGCTGGAGTACTGAGGTAGCCAGAGATTTTACAGAAAACCATTTTTTTTAAGAGCTTGATTTGCACTCCCATTCAAATCTGGAGACTACTTAGTAATTTTGTTAGAAGCAAGGCTGAAAACTTAGCATACTATTCTTTGTTACAAATCTGAGGTGGGTGGCAGCTATTAATAAAATACAATACAAAGCTGAAGGAAGGCTTGAGTTAGTGAAGTACTGCTTGAGGCTTGAAGTACTGCTTCTAGTATACAGAAATACAGGCAAACTTAGAGCTAATGATCTGTGTTCTTATTTGCTGGTCACTGGGCTTACTGATGTGGCCTTCTTACAGCTGAAGTAATAAAGCAGCAGAATAATATTTCTTGGCTTCATGGTCACCGTCAACCTACAATTTGTAAATGTGTTGCTGCTTAGATAAACCTTCTACTTCCTTAGAAAACATACTGCTTTTCCTCAGAAAAAATGCTTCCTAACTTTTCAATCCTACAGTAGCGTGAATCTATATGTTTGATTTAATAGAGGTTGGTGGCTTTGATCCTATTGAAATTATAGTTTTGCTGAGCACTATGGGAAGACTAAAAGTCTGGTTTCACCCCAAGAAGATGGGTTCCCGGGGCTTCTTTTCCATAGTTGGTGGGGAGAAGCTTCCTGAGGATGATTGAGTGGCTATGTTACATTCTTATTTAAATTTCTTTTGCTGTGTTGGGGGGCAGCTCTGCAACTGTCCTCCCACGACTGTCCAGCCTCTGTGAACACCCACACATATGGTGTGGTCCAAAAAGTAATTTAGAGATTTTTGAGGATTAGAATAATGAACACTTGCCTAGGGATTAGATGGAAATTTCTGTAGTGTAAGCCTAGCTTTAATATGAATTGAGTTCAGATAGCTTTCTGGGAAGGCTGAGACCTGGAGTGTGCTGAAAAGCATTTCATTACTTCGATATTCTCCTTTCATTACTGTGAAAGTCCTCTTCAGGCTTTTAATTGCTTCACTCCAGTTAAGTTTGGGGGAGGTGGGTAGGCATAGCTGTAGTTAACTGGTTATCCACTGTTCTTTGCCTGGATAAATGACTGGATTCAGTTACAAACTTAAAACAATGAGTGGGGTTACTCTGACAGGATATTTTGAAAAGTTCTGGCTATTTTAGTTCAGTGCTAATCAGCTGCCTGTGAACATAAGTGTTCTACATCTATTCTGGTGGTGATTTGTTTTTACAGATGAGCAGTCTGGTCTTGTCCCTCCTTCCCCTATCCCAGATTGCGTTTATGTAAGGTAACACAGTCCAGTCAGGTTTCTTGGAACCTGGCTCTTTTGCAAACTTGAGAAATCATTTCTGATGAGAGGTGCATCATTTTAGGTCAGTCAAAGATGCTGAGCTATGTTATGTTCCGTATTTTACATTTCTAAGGAGATGACATGGTGCAGTTGTGGAGCTTTTCTGTGCTATACTTACCAGCAAGACCCTTTGATCTGGCCCCTGTGTGGAAAAAAAAGAAACTCAGCCTTGAGATCACTTAGTCCTTTGTAAAGTCAGCTTTGTAAAATCAGACCGATTTTTCCCCAGTTCGGGGAGTAATAAATTCTCGGCAGTCCTGAAACCACAGCTAGTGGTTTATTATCTTAAAAGGCACAGATAGCAGCGTAGCTCGGTGTTGGCCTGTATTGCCTGTTCTGGAGCTGCAGTGCATCAGGGTAGTTCATTTGCTTCATCACTTCAATTTCTAAGTGTTGAGAACGGGAGGTTTGGGGAGCAGAGATATGCAAAGGTCAGCATTTAAGGATAGGCACTTAACTCTGTTTTCATTAAAATTGTCCATTGTAACCAGGACAGGATTGCATTGTGGGCAGCAGAATCATTATAAACTGACTTTAAGCCTGTTTTATTTCACAGGGAGATGTTTAAGGCCACGTCTGGGGGTGGAGGTGGGTTTCTGAGTGCATCATTGCACCTTCCTCTTTAAAATAAAAGGTCACAGTTCATTTCTGTTGTAAATAGCTGGGTCATATTTTTTTCCAAATGGATGAGTGATCTAGAGACTTGGCATCAAACCCCAGTTAAATAGTTTTGTCAGCTGTTGGTGACTTTCACTTCCTGGAGCATTTTAGATACACTTTTTAAATCAGCATGAAAAAGCTGATAGCATTGCTTAGTCCATATTTTTTTTTTCCCTCCCCCTTGGAAAAAACTTTACTATTCAACATTTAACATACACCACAAAACCCTTGAGCCCTTTACTTGTCCTGGTGAAAGTAGCTCTGTTGTTCCAGGTGGGATCATTGCTGTGTCTGTATGTGTATGTGTGTTCCCCACTTGTCCTCCAGACTCCCTAAGCCGAGTCCTATAGCTTTCTGGCTCAGCTCCTTCTCCGTAGAATAGCTCACAGACACACCAAGAGCATGTGTAGTAATGCTTGCTTTTTATTTTTTTTTTCCCTCTCTTCCACTCTTGTTTTATTTTTACTTTCTGTTCTTTTCTTTGTGATGTGACGTTTTCAGCTGATGTATTGAAAGCAAACCCTTCTAATTTTGGAGTCCAGATCACAAGAGTGAGTTTCTACTAGTGTCTATAGCTGTATTTTTTTTTTGTGTGTCCTCCCCTCTGACTTTGGTAATGCTCAACCACATTTAGTAAATACAATTAGGTAAGAGAATCCTCTGTCTTGTCAAATCTTCCCCTTTTTCACAAAGCAATGTTCTCTTTACATTGGACCAACTTAATTCCTCTAATTTGAACTTCGGGTTGGTTTCTGTGTGTACCGGTCTGACTCTGCTCCACTGAAGAGACAGAGTCAGCCAGCTGAAAGGTATATTTAGAATTCACCAATGATTGTACATTTTGCACGAGAATTTTTCTAAAGTGACTACTGCTTTGAGTACTGTTAGTCTTTCTGACCCTTCACAAAATGCCTGAAAAACAAGAAACTTTTTCAAAAGCTGGGTACACGATGCTTTCTGGAATTGGGCATTTTGAAAGGGTTTCAAATTGTGCACCAAAGAAAGAAAAGTTAATCCCTTAGGATGGTAGAGGTCTTCCTTTGCTGCTTTCTGTTACTTAAACTTCTGTATAGCACTCTTAAACAAACAAAAAAAGTCTTGTGATGTTTCACATGTATTCAAAGGAAGAACAGCAGCCTCTTCCTAGTTCTTTGAGACAAGGACTTTCGAAAATTTTTCTGAAGTCTTGGATGTTCAATTTCTATTAGAATTGGATATCTAGATTTCCTCAGTGATGTCTGATGTTTGAAATTCCTTGGCTTTGGGTTTACTTCCTCATACGATCAGATTTCTGGGGAGCTTAGTGTTTCTGCCCTCTACAGTGTTCAGCCCCAAAAGACTCCATCGCATCTTAGAGCATTTTGTTTCTTGAGAGACTGTCTCAGAACTACTGTCAGGAAAGCAAGTAACTGTTTGTGGTGTATGTTGTATTATTTATTTGCTTAATGGAATCATTTGCATGGGATTTTTGGCACCTTTTCCAATGTAATTTGTACATTGCTTTTGTAAGATACAATACCTGGGTAACTCTCTTGCACCAGCTAATCCCTTTCTGTTTTTTGGCCCATGCTATTAAGAATTCTGTCATGCACTGTTTGTCAAGTACATTTGCACCCTGCAAGAGCAGCAAAGTAAACAGTCTTTTTTTTTTTTCCCCCCCCTCCCTTTTCCTTCCAGAATTTGCTTGTTGCTTTGAAATCAGCTTTATTGTACATGCTAAAGAAAACCAGTAATGTTGATTGGAAATGCATATATACAGATTTGATGTCATAGCCAAAAGTGATCAACAGTTGTCTTTTCATTTAGCTACTGGGAGGATGGCAACGTGCTCCATTTGGTTTATTGAGCTAAGATGCTAAGATGCTGTTGCGCCATCCTAGCTCAATAAATGTTACTGGGAAGGGGCTTCACAGTGTACTTTCCAGCGCTACAGCAAAGAGCTTTTGGACATTTAACCAAACACTGCTTTTATCTAATCCGTTCCTGCTTTCTTTTGCCTCAGAGGTTGAAAGATCTCAAGCAAAGGGAGTTTGCTCGCAATGTCTCTTCAAGATCACGTAAAGATGAAAGAAAGCAGGAGAAAGCCCTCCGGCGTCTGCACGAACTGGCTGAGCAGAGGAGGCAGCCTGAATGGTGAGTGGGGGTGATCCCTGAGCACCCCTGGAGGTGTGTGGGAGTCCTGCTTGGGACTGCATGGCACTGGCGCTCTTGCTCCTGTAATCCTGTGCAAGTTTTGAGGGCAAAGCTTCATGCTTAAGCTTGGCCTCATGCTGTGTTTTTGGTAGGAGTGAATTCACTAAACCAGTAGTCCAGAGCATCCCCAAATTGCTTTATCCAGCAATACGTTTTCTTCAGTTATTTAATAGTATTTAAAAATGCAAATGGCTGTATAATGCTGTTTTAATGCATATTTCTGGACACAAGGGCACTTGAAATGTGTAAAAGACTGATTTAGATGAGGCGTGAATCCAACTGCAGAGGTATACAAATGTCTGTCAACTGTTTTCTCTATTTTAACTTGTTCATACAGTGCTCCTGGAAGTGGACCCATGTTCAGAACCACCACGGTGGCTGTGGATGAGGAGGGTGGAGATGATGACGATTCTGCAGCCAACAGCAGCTCTTTCATCCAGACGGCTTCTGGTCAAGCTACAGAGATGACTATGGACAGAGGTTTCCTAAACACTGGACAGGTCGGTGGCACTGTTATGCCAAGCCAGATGCCGACGCAGACAGCGCAGGCCATCAGCTTTGGTATTAAGAACGCTTTGGGAACTCCACTGCAGAAGATAGGTGTGTCATTTTCCTTTGCAAAGAAGACCCCAGTAAAGCTTGAGACCATAGCTTCTGTTTTCAAGGACCATGTGGAAGAATCAAGTTCTGCAGATGGAGCAAAAGCTGATGAGAGAGGGTCATCAGATGCAGGGAATCTGCTGAAATCTGGTGAGGGCGAAAGCACAAATAATTCTGATGGCAAGGCAGAGGAAGATGACCAACATGACAAAGATAGTGGATCTCTAGCCACTACGTTATCTAAACTAAAAAAGATGAGACGAGAAGATGGACCAATGGCAGTTGAGCCAGAATACTACCACTATATTCCCCCAGCCCACTGTAAAGTAAAGCCTAATTTTCAATTCCTGCTTTTCATGAAGTCTACCGAACAAATGGAAGCTGAAAATGTGAACAAAAAAAACACGCATGAAACTAAAAAGGGTAATTCTCCAAAACCCAAACCGGGAAAGCACACAGAGAAGGCTGCTGAGAGCACGGGGCAGCAGAAGGAGCAGAGTACTACTGAAACTGCAGCTCAGCAGAGCAAAACAGAGCTAAAAGAAGGCCTAGAAAATGCAAGTATGCAGGAGAGCAAGCATCTTGCAGAGAGCAATCTCCCTGAGCCAGACACTACTAAAGAAGTCGCTCAGCCTGTCCCGGGCTGTAAAGATGCCTCTGAAGGACCAAAGCATCCAACCGGACCCTTTTTTCCCGTTCTGAGTAAAGATGAGAGCACGACTCTCCAGTGGCCTTCAGAACTTCTCATATTTACCAAAGCAGAACCATCGGTTTCATACAGCTGTAACCCCCTCTATTTTGATTTCAAGCTCTCTCGCAACAAAGATGCTAAAGGTAAAGGGGCAGAGAAATCTAAGGATCCAGGGGGTCTTTGTAAAGAAAACGTTCAGAGCACAGAATCCGGTGAGATAAGCAAACCCAAGGAGGCAGAAAGTGCAGCTAACAGTTCTGCTCTAAAAATGGAAAACAAATCTCTGTCCACCTGTGGCTCCCAGAACAAGCAGGAGTCCAGTTTGGTGAGCCTTGGTAAGGGAGAGGGAGAGGACAGTAGTAAATCCATAACTGGTAAGAGTAAAAGGTCTCACAAACACAAAAAGAAAAAGAAGCACAAAAAGTCCAGCAAACACAAACGTAAACACAAGGAGGAAGCTGATGAGAAGGGCCGAAAAACTGACCTGGGGGAAGAGAAACCCAAGAAACGGAAAAGACACAGACACAAAAAAGGCAAATCCTGTCTTTCTACTGAATTGGAACGAGCACTAAAAACTGAATTGTCTGAAGATTGTAGCCATTTCCAGAAGAAAAAGCGGTGCTCTCAGGAGTCCCAGAGGAAGTCTCTGTCTGCTGAAGAGGGAAGTAGCGGTAAAAAAGAGGATGGTGGTATCCCCTGCCAAGAGCATGGCAGCAAAAAACACAAGGCTGACCTGCAGCAGTTGCCTGCTCTGAGGAGACGGTGTTCGGCTCCTTCCCTGGGCAGGATCAGCCACAGGAGCCGGCAGAGCAGCGGGGACTACGACAGCGACGAGGGCTCTCACAGGAAGCACTGCCGGCAGAAATCCCCCTCGCAGTACAGCGACGACTACGACTCTGGCAGTGACCACTCCAGGAGCCGCTCCAGGTCGGGGCGCAGACACTCCTCTCCCCGCTCCTATTCCAGCAGCTCCGATGCCTCCTCGGACCACAGCCGGTACAGCCGCCGCAGAAGTTACTCGGACGACAGCTACAGCGATTACAGTGACCGCTCAAGGTGCCATTCAAAGCGGTCCCACGACTCGGAGGATGACTCTGACTACAACAGCTCCAACCACAGATCGAAGCGGCATAAGTACTCCTCTTCTGAAGATGACTACAGCTCGAGCAGGAGCAGGTCGAGGAGTAGAAGCAGGAGCCGAACTCACCCTCGAGGCAGGTCACGATCAAGGAGCCGGGGCAGAACACGCAGCAGCAGCTGCAGCCGCAGTCGAAGCAAGAGGAGAAGCCGAAGCGTGACGGGTCGTAGCTGGAAGCGGAGCCGCAGCTACAGCAGGGACCGCAGCCGCAGCACGAGGAGCCACTCCCAGAGATCTCTCTCACGAAAGGGCTCTCGAGGCCATGAGAGCCCTGAAGAGAGGAGATCTGGGAGAAGAGACTTTATCAGGTCCAAAATCTATCGCTCGCAATCTCCTCACTATTTCCGCACAGGCCGAAGTGAAGGATCATTGCTGAAGAAAGAGGATGGCAAAGGAGAGGATCTGAAAGGGTCTGGCTCGCTCTCCCAAAACAGCAGCAGCTCTGGCACAGGGAGGGTCTCAGAAGGTGACTGCAGTCCAGAGGAGAGAAACTCTGTCACTGCAAAGCTTCTCTTGGAAAAGATTCAATCCAGGAAAGTTGAGAAGAAGCCCTGCGTTCCTGAAGAGATGCTGGCAGGGGCAAACAAGGTGGGCATAAAACTCAAAGATCCTCCCCAGGGCTACTTTGGCCCAAAACTTCCTCCTTCCTTAGGCAACAAACCGGTTCTCCCCTTAATTGGGAAACTGCCAACCGTTCGAAAACCAAATGCCAAAAGATACGAAGAGTCTGGCTTGGAGAGGGGTGAGGATCAAGAGCTGTCGGATTCAGAGGATGTTTCCCAAGGCATTGAGGAGGCTCAGTTGGCCAGCCAGTCTCTCCTGGAGGAGGTGGTGATGGTAATTCAGGACAAACCTCTGGATGAGCAGAAACGTGATGAACCTGCCGTGGAAATGCCGTCCATTCCCCTTGAAGCGCCAACGCTCCCCGAGTGCTTTGGCTCTGGGGATCTGGTCATGCCACACAACTTCCTCTCAGATCCGAGCGATGGCGATGGGCTAGAACCTATCGACGGGGGCAACCAGCCGGTCCCAGTGGAAACCAGTATGATGCCCTTGGTTCCAGATGTTGAGCACTTTCCTGGCTATGTGCCTCAGAGCGGTGAGCCGAGCATCGAAGGGGATCGGGAAGGAGGCGAAGATTCCTCTCTGGCACCCCTTGAGAGCCAGCCGATCACTTTTACACCCGAAGAAATGGAGAAATACAGCAAGCTGCAACAAGCTGCTCAGCAGCACATTCAGCAGCAACTTCTGGCAAAGCAGGTCAAGGCCTTCCCTGCCTCGGCGGCCCTGGCGCCGGCAGCGCCTGCCCTGCAGCCCATCCACATTCAGCAGCCGGCGGCAGCCTCGGCCACGTCCATCACCACGGTGCAGCACGCCATCCTGCAGCACCACGCTGCCGCCGCCGCCGCTGCCATCGGCATCCACCCTCACCCTCACCCCCAGCCTCTCGCTCAGGTTCATCATATACCCCAGCCCCACTTGACCCCTATTTCATTATCCCACTTGACCCACTCGATTATTCCAGGGCACCCCGCTACGTTTCTAGCCAGCCACCCCATCCACATCATTCCGGCGTCAGCTATCCATCCAGGCCCCTTCACTTTTCATCCGGTTCCTCACGCTCTTTACCCAACTCTTCTTGCCCCGAGACCCGCTGCTGCTGCAGCCGCCACAGCGTTACATCTTCATCCTTTGCTGCACCCTATTTTCTCAGGACAGGACTTGCAGCACCCACCCAGTCACGGCACATGAAGGACAAAATGAAGTAACCTGGGAGGAAGGAGAATATTTTGCATTTTGGGAAGGGGTTGAAGTAGATCCAGCTGGCAGGTGAGGCCCTGAGAATTTCCTTTCACTCTTTAGCAGCCAAAGAAGCCAAAGGCTCGAGGGCTGGGTAGCAGCAGGCGGTGGGTCAGTTCATGAGCGTTGTGTATATCTGCTACCAGGGACTGTCTCGCATCCCCAACACCTCCGTGCACGTCGCAGCACTCTCTCCTACAAGAATCATTTCACGTGTAGACCAGCGAGACACTTGGAAAGGCTTTTTTTCCCTGGATTCTTACACTTGGTCATCTTCCTTCTGCCGCCTTGTATATGATAAACAAGATTTCATACATGCTAGTAGGTCTTTAAAAATCCTTTTAATGAGGTCATCTAATTAAAATAGTCAGCATGATTGAATCCAGCTTGTAATCGGTGATAAAACATTCAGTAACTGACAGCTGTGGATCCTGGCGAGGAGGCCGATGAAGGGCAGTGCCACTCGGGGTTTGGCTGGGCCAGTACCAGTTTTCAAGCATCACAGGAGATTTCTTGGCACCCTGTCGCTGCATACTTAGGGTTGTTTTTTCTTGATCTGAGCAGCAAAGGTGGAAGTAAGATCTTGTTTCAAAGCTGAAGCGAGGAGCTGCGTGCATGCCCAGAGCTCTGACCCTTCTCCATCCTCCATTAGCATTCTCCTGCGTGAGGACTGCGCCTCGGAGCCTTCCGGATGGCCTGGACTGGGGGAGAGGTTGGTGATGTCAATCTGAGCTTTGACCACCCTTCTCCTGAGAAGGGCAGGGAGGGGGGGAATATCACTCTTGACTTCCATCATTTGTGGTGTTGGGAAAGAGGCACTTGGATGAGAGAGAGAAGAAAAATCCCTTTAGGAATTGAAGCAATACAGAGGACTGGGAAGAGCGGCCGGGGTATGTAAAATGTATTCTTTCCTCTGTAATACTGATGGTTTCCTTATTAATTTATAGGTTGGTTTTTTTTTTTAATGTAAAGAATTGCACTGAACTCTGTAAACAAAGATGCTGCTTTTTGTAGCTCATATAAAAAGGTTACATTTGTAGTATACCGCAATAATATTTTTTACAGCCAGTTCTTTTAGTGGTACTTGTTCTGGTGGCTTTTGTGTAAATATGTTTGCTGTAGGTGAAATAAGACACTTGTAAAGGTTCAACTTTATAGTTTCAGCTAGATGCAAAATGACTAAGCATGTATATTTTATCAAGCTCATGTATTTTTGAAGTTTTTATGTACTATAAAATGTAAAAAAAAAATAATCTTCATTTAGCATTTTGCAGAAGAAAAGAAAAAAAAAAAATAAAGTGAGACTTGGACTAGGTGAGGTGCGTGGACGAGACCGGTGACTCTAACAGCTAATGAAGGGCATCGCACGGGGCACGCTGCGCCCTCCCTGTCCTTGCCCCGCAGCTGCTTATAGGAATCGACACTGGAGGCAGTCTCAGGAGTGTCAGGAATTTGGGTTGTCTCCCAGAGTATAAAATACACCCCCCTTTTATTTTTTTTTTTATTTTCTTTTTTTCCCCTGGGTTTGAAGCGGTGATTTGCAGGTGCCAGCCTGGCTGTGCAGTTCAGTAGAGTCTTCCAGTGAAGGAGGAGCCTTCAGCCACTGTACACGCAGGGAGAGGTGGTTTGGGACCCATCCCTTGAGGCCCTGCCTGCCCCTGGTGTCCCAGAAGGGATTTCTCTGCTCTTGCAGCATCGTCCGCTGGCTGCAGATAACACTAACCGTGGGAGCCTTCTCCCCCACGAGCTCTTCCCAGCGTGCCAGGACGAGCTGCTGCTGTCCCCACTGACTCAGTATTTCAGGCGCAGGCCCTCCTCGTGTTAGTGGTTCGGGGGCACCCCATGGTCCTTTGTTAGGGCCTGATTTCAGAGCAGGCAGGAGCAGGCAGCGAGGGGATGTGGAGCACACGCTGCTGCCTGATGTCCCCATCCTCTCCCCATGTGCAGCACTGAGACCTGGAGGGGAGAGATCGAAGGACCGAAACCTTGAGCTTCCTCACTCTTTAAACAAGAAACTTTTGCATTTGAGCAGGTTGGACTGAAACACAATGGTCAAAAAAAGGGACTCAATTTCTCTGTAAATAATTAACAGAATACAGTATTAATGTCTCAATGCTGAGCTTCATTAGCTTCTAGATTCAATATGCGTCTTCTGGCACCCTTCACACTGCAGTCAGGGGTTTTTTTGACTTCCAGAATAGTGCTAAAAATAATTAACCTATCATTACTTAACAAGCATAAACAGACTGTATTTAACTTTGTCACATAAGATATATATATATAAATATATATATATGCTGTAAAATGAGGGGAAAAAAACCTTTCTAATAAACCAATGATTTGTGGAAAAAAATGTGTGGTTTGCATGAGATGACTTGAAGCTGCTGCATCTGATTGCGTTGTAGCCCAGGACTTTTTCCTAAAATAACAGTATCAGATGCTTGGTTCGAGTAAAAGTACTTTTCATTGCAGTACTTTGCTTAGAAGATATTGAGCTGGATACAGAGAAAATCTACTCTTAATTTTTTTTTTTTTAAAGGACATTATTTTGGGTAGGAGCCCTCAACGAATCAGGTGAGTTCTGCAGGTTCTCTCCTGGCAACGGAGCTGGGGCAGGGTCTGGAGCACAGGTCTGCTGGGGAGCGGCTGGGGGAACTGGGGGGGTTCAGTCTGGAGAAGAGGAGGCTGAGGGGAGACCTCCTGGCCCTCGGCAACTCCCTGCCAGGAGGGGGCAGAGAGGGGGGATGAGTCTCTGGAGCCAAGGCCCCAGCGCCAGGCCCCGAGGGAATGGCCTCAAGCTGCCCAGGGCAGGGTCAGGCTGGCTCTGAGGAAGGATTTCTGTGCAGAAGGGGCTGTTGGGCGTTGGAATGGGCTGCCCAGGGCAGGGGGGAGTCCCCGGGATCCCTGGGGGGTTGAAGAGTCGGGCTGAGCCAGCGCTAAAGATCTGGGGGAGTTGGGAACCGTCAGGGTGAGGTTCATGGTTGGGCTGGAGGAGCTGCAAGGGCTCTTCCAACCCCGAGGATTCTGGGATTCTGTCTTGCCCACCTCGTCCCTCCACTCTGCACCCTCCCTTGTGCTGGTCCTGCAGCCAGCACAGCAGTTGGGTGTTGGGGTGCTGCACCCCTTGTCCCTGCTGTGCTCGGGGCAGCGGTGCTGGAGCTGTTCTGGGCTGTCATGGCTCAACCAAAGGTTCCCCCAGGTCAGAGCATGTGGGGATGATGCCACCTCTCCCCACCCTGCCAGCAGCGAAGTTTCTGCTCTGGGCTCTTCCAGCCCTTCTTCCATCTTGGTTGTTTGGGGCTTTTTTTCCCCATTTTTCTCTCCAGCAGCTCTTGAGCTGGGTTACAGCCTTGTCTCTGCCCTTGCTGCAGTGGGGTGGTGGCACAGCAGTGTCCCTCTAACCTGGGGATTGCCCCTGCTTTGGGGGTCTCCCTGGCCTTCACAAGCCTGAATGGGTGTTGGAGGAGGTGAGTGCTCAGGGTGAGCAGCACCAGTGTCTCCTTTCTTAGCTAAAGGTCCTTATTTGGTTAAAGGAAAAAAAAAAGTAAGTCCTGAAAATTTCTGGGGCTGGGGTACGGGGTGTAACCTGCCCTTGCCTGGGCCGGCCTCTTTCCTGTGGCCCTGGAACCAGCTGGCTGGATTGAATGACAGTGTGGAAGCAGTGCACGAACTGTGGAGTTAACTCGCTTGATGGGGGAAAGAATTAGAGTTGCCTTAAAGCAATTCTGGTGTGGGTGTCAGCTGGGTTTGGGTGCTCACTGCCGCCAGCCTGGGAAGAGACCTCCCAAAGAGGAGCAGGTGGTACGTCGTGCAGACCCCTGTGCTCAGCATGTGTCTCTCCCAGGGGCATGGAGCTGAGCCGGGCTCAGCTAAACCCTTCCCAGTCTGCAGAGCCCGACAGCCAGGGCTCAGCCTCAGCTTCGGGCAAATCCCACCAGTTTCTGATTGCAGCTGAGACCCTGGATCTACCATCTAGCTGCTCCCAGGGGTGGGTGCAGACCTGGCGCGGGGCCGAGGCGCTGCTGGGGCCCTGCAGGGACCACCCTGTGCCCCCCTGGGGGGCCCAGGACCCCACGGCCCCCCATCATCCCTGTCTTGCTTCCCACCCACAGCTTCAGAGTAGATTAAAAGGCTGAAAACCCCGTTTCCACATGGAGACTGGCTCACACCGAGATGCTCCGCTGCCTCTCCCTGCCACCAGCTCCACATGGGCAAGAGGAGCCCCCGGCAGCTTGAGTGGCCTTAATTGAGCGTGTTTAAATTAACTCTGCAAGTGTGCTAAGCCGAGGGGGGACACGTGGGTTTGGCCGAGCAGCTCCCGTGGCTGTTGCTGCAGGGCTGGGCCCCAGCAGCTGCTGCAGCCCCGATGTGGCGTTGCTGGGGCGGCTTTTCCTCTGCCAAGGAGCCCCCTTGTCTGCTGGGCTGCAGGTGTCCCCCCACCATGGCTCCTGTGCCCCCACCCTGGCACCTGTGTCCTCGCCGGAGCCGCTTCCCTGCAAAGCGCTGGCGCCCGGTGGCTGGGCTGCCCTGGCCCTGCACTCGCCCCTGGAAGGGTTTTGGGGTGTCCCTGCTCTGGGGAAAGGAATACAGTTTGGTGGCGATGCCCAGTGCTGGTGGGGCCAGTGTGGGGAGCCAGGTGTCCCCCAGCCCATCCGCTCCATCCCGCTCTGGAGGGGACCTCAGGGGACGATGGGACAAGGCCCCTGCACCCTGTGGCCATCCCCCTCCCTGCCATGTTTCCGCTGGCCAGGCCGTGGCCGCCTGCACCCCGAGATAGGCACGGGCACGGGCTGGATTCGGCCCCAGCCTCCGGTGGAAGGGGGGTGGTGGGCAACAGGCTGTTGTGCTGCTTCCTGCCATGGCCGTGTCCCCCCAACCCCTCGCCATGTCCCCGGTGATGCTGCCACCCCCTGCCCTGCTCTGCCAGCCGGGCCAGGCATCTCTATCCCCAGCCAAAAGCAGCACGTCCCCCGCTGCACCCCAGTGGCCCTTTGGCTCCCTGGTGGGAGTGGTTGTGTGCGGGGGGGGGGGGCCCTTCCTGTGTCCCCCATCCCTGCGGTCCCTGTCCCCAGCTGTATCCTCTGAGATAAGCAGGGGACAGGCTGGCACGGGCTGTGCGGGGCTACCAGCCACATTTCAGGGTGGCGATGGGGGCTGCTGCTGCCCTACTCTGGGCCCTGCTGCTCCTCGGGGGGCCACGCTTGGCCCCCACCCTGGGGCTCCTCCAGGACCAACCCACCGTGTACGAGGGACCCCCCGGCAGCTATTTTGGCTTCTCCCTGGATTTCCACATGACGGAGGGCAGGTAGGGAGACGCTGGAGTCCTGGGGCCGGGCATGGCACCCATTTCCCTGCCACTGACACCCGCTCTGCCCACCCCAGGCCCAGCGTGGTGGTGGGGGCACCCCACGCCAACACCTCCCAGCCCGGCGTGGACCAGCCCGGTGCCGTGTTCCTCTGCCCCTGGCACCCCAGCGAGCCCTCCTGCCACCCCCTCCTCATCGACACTACGGGTGCGTGGGTGCCACAGGATGATGGGGGGGGGATGTGGGGGGGCCACCGGCCCAACAGGCTCCCCCTCTCCTGCTCCCCCAGGGGACGAGACCGAGACCCAGAGCACCCTGAATCTCCACACCTACAAGTCGAACCAGTGGCTGGGGGCGTCGGTCACCAGCTGGGATGGCAAACTGGTGGTGGGTGCACCCGGCAGATGGGTGGGCGCCCTTGGATGGTGGTGGGGTGGGCACCCACCCTGTTCCCATCCCTGTCCGCAGGCCTGTGCCCCGCTGCAGCACTGGAACGTGATGGACGGTCAGCAAGAGGCTTTCCGCACCCCAACGGGCGCTTGCTTCGTGGGTGCCCCGGGGCTGCGCCGCATCGCCTGGTACTCGCCCTGCCGCGACCAGCTCATGGCCAGCACCTACCGCGAGAGCTACTACGGTGAGGGCAGG